ATGCAATTGTAAATAAACGTTTTTATTTATTTGGGCTATATTATTAATAATATCTTTTATATTATATAAAAATAATCCGAAATAGATTCTTAAATAAATGATATCATTTACATCTTTTACTCAAGTTTAAGTTTAGCTTTATTCTGTACGTAGATATTTAACAACATATATTGTAGACACTTGTTTAATTTATGAATATCGATAGCGATCTCTCTCTTCCATGACAAGTGTACCTAATTATTTACTTACGGGTTTAACTTATATTTAATCTCATCAAATCGCGTTATTTCTTTCCTTTCTTATTATGTAACTATTTTATAGACTAGCTCAATCTAGAGCACATGATAAACATATTTCTTTTGCTTTTTTCCCTTCTTTTTTTTTCTTTTAAGATTTTGTATATCATAATGATAAGCAGTAACATTATAAGATATTTTAAGTATATTTATTGGGCTGCTATCTGAATTTGTTGGAAATTATTTTAAGGAAACTTTTTTAATGCGAAGAGCTAAAGTGCCCGGAAATGCAGCTGCAATGTCGGCGATCTTAGGAATAATCTAATGCGTTGCGATACGATTGAATGCTACGTTTATTGCGCACGCATTTGTATTTAATTTGACTATTTTGCGAGATTAGATTTGTACAAGAAGAGAGTTTGATAACAAATGGAAACAAAATGGGCAAAGGACCAAAATATATAATTTGCATTCGCCAACCTAAACTTATTTAGGATTGACGTATTGACACATCCATTTTTATACGTGATGCATTATAAGAGACAGAGAGTCTTTTTTTCATAAAAATGGATGGAATCTCCTGATTCTCGAGGCATTTTGTACTTGCAAGGGCATTGTTGTGATACCACAGATGCAGCTTCATTGAAAATAAATAAAAAAATAATACACATGTTAATTGATGTATTTTTATTTCCAATTATTATTGAACTTCTTTGGGTTACCTGAAACTTCCCAATTATTGATCCTCTTACTTATCGCTTTCGAATCGAATAGGAATTGAAAAAAAAGATCGAAAGTAAGGACCCAGATAGCAAGCACACGTCATTTTGACGTTTCAAATTGGTCATTCAAATTGACTATTCTTGACGTCACGAATTGACGTTTTTATGACGTAAAAGTGACGGTCTAATGTCATAGATTCTTGACGTCATGACATGTACCGCATTTTGACGTCATAAAATGTACCATTATTTTGACGTCTTTTTCTTAGCATAATAATATATTTAATAGTGTTGTCGAATAAAGCATTGTCTAAAAGTGAATCAGTGCATTATCACTAAAAAACAGTGAATGATTAGTCACTGATTACAGCAGTTATAAGTACAGCACTCTAAATCAATGATATTTTATTAAAAGAATTTTTAAAAAATCAGTTAATAATTTTGACTATTTCAATCAGTAATATCTTAGTAATATTTCTTTCGTTATTGCCACTAATATTAAACTACAATTCATCTCTCTATCTATTTCATAAATATAATATAAACATAATAAATATAAAAATAAATAAATATATATAAATATAAATAAATATATATATATATATATGAAATTAAAAATTTTATTTATATTTACTAAATATTTATTATATTAAAAATTTTATTTATATTACATGTATATTGAACTTGTTATTTTAAATAAATAACGAATGAATAATTTTCATTAAGTAGCCAGACATTTATTTGTCCGACTTATAAAATCAGTTTAACATCTGAAGCCTCTCTATTGAGATTGTATAAGAAATTAAATCGAAGTAATTTTACTTTAACAATTGTTAAAGTCTGATCGCGAAAATCATGTTATATAAAAAATTTTAAAAGATTTTTTTATGGGATCGATATACTAACTAATGATATTAATAATAAAATAATCGTCACTTCATGACTGAAAAATGATGTTACATCAAAATAATGTTATATCAAAACGTCAATATAAAGTCATGTAAAAAATCAATCATTTTGACGACATATGACCAAAAATGACCAGTTTGGAAGTCAAAATGACGTGTGCTTGCTATCTGGAGAGATTATTTAGCTCCGAATATTATAGATGTTTGACTATGTTAAAACATCCAATAAATATTGTTTGTTGCAATAATATAAAATGTGAATATATAAATAACGCAAGTTGCATATATAAAACTGAAATACATTATATTCATTATTTTGTCACAATAATATCCCTCTAAAAAACTTTACAAAGGTAAAAAATACGCCGAGTACATAAAAAAATATTCTATCTTGTATGCAACAAAATGTTTAATAAAAAAAGTCCTTAAAAATAATTTACAATAATTTTCCTAAAAAATCTTAAAAAATAAAATATTAAAACTAAATATGGAATTCAAAAATTACTATTAGCCAAGTACTTAAGTGCAATTTCTAAATTTGATATAATATTTACCATGAAATTAATTTTATATTGTAGAAATATTATACATAAATTCTTTCTAAGAAATTAAAACATATTTTATATTTATTCAGAGAAACTGTATTTTTAAATCAACACTAAATGAGAATTAGAATTCTTTTAAGTTTTCATAACTTACTTTGATTTAAAGACTGCGATTTAAAACTTGCGTTTTTTTTTTAATTATATACATTATATAAAAAATATTCTCGAAATTAAAAGAATCCTAATTCTCATTTAGTGTTGATTTTAAATATTTTAAAAATCAAGTTTCTCTAAATAAATATAAAATGTGTTTTAATTTCTTAGGAAGGATTTATGTATGATGTTTCTACAATGTGTTATATTGAATTCAAAAAAATATATTAAATAAAATATATCAAATTTAGAAATTGCACTTAAGTACTTGGCTAATAGTAATTATTGATTTTATATTTAATTTTAATAGTTTATTTTTTAATATTTTTTAATGAAAATTATTTAAAATTTTGTTTTTTAAAAAAATGATTTTGTGAGGGAAAATTACTGTAAATTATTTTTAAGGACTTTTTTTATTAAACATTTTGTTGCATATAAGATACTTAGGGACCAATCAAATGGCCTATAAGGTCACAGCACACACTTGCATAAGCGCATAACCATAAGCATAAGGAAATTGATTGGTCCCCAAGTATATACATAAAAAAATGAACCAATCAATTTTCTTATGCTTATAGTTATGCGTTTATGCAAAAGTGTGTGCTGCGGCCTATAGTCTTTAAAGCCTGGAACACATAAAAAACTTAGACATTAAACTTAAGACTTAAACGAATCGACCAATCACAGTCGAGCAATAAGGCAGCCACTGCCTTATTGCTCGACTGTGATTGGTCGATTCGTTTAAGTCTTAAGTTTACTTTAAGTTAAGTCTAAGCCCGGGTCTACAATAGATAATTTAAGCCCTAAGCCTTAAGAAATTGACCAATCACAGTCAGATATTCTCTTCATACTTGACTGTGATTGGTCAATTTCTTAAGGCTTAGGGCTTAAATTACCTATTGTGGACCCGGGCTAAGGGTACGTTCCAAAACGTACTCTCCGAGGAAAATTTTACTTCGCCGTTCCGAAACTCTTTTAAGCGTTTCCGATTGGTTCGAATCAGCCTTCGAGTAAAATTTTCCTCGGTTACTTGCGTTTTGGAACGTAACCTAAGTTTTTTTATGTGCTCCAGGCTTAAATATAAGATCGGACTATGGTTGTGTTCCGATATTTACTGCCAGTACTGAAAATCTATAGTTTACGTTACATATATTATAGATTTTCAGAACTGACAGTTTATATCAGAACGCAGCCTATGGCTGATGGCAGAGAACTAGATGTCTGTCGTAGTCGTGGACGTAAAGTAAGACAGAGAAAAATTGTCACAATGGCCTTGTACGACTTACGTTTTTCTCTGTCTTACTTTACGTCCACGACTACGACAGACATCTAGTTCTCTGCCATCAGCCTATGAATACCGACCGTAGGGTGCGGTCCAGTAAACGCTACCAAATGCTCTGAGCGTTACGTTCCAAATACCTCCAGAGGAGTGGTTCACGAATGCTATGAGTACTATAATTGCTACGCAAATGAACTAGGCTACGCTACAGCGTAGCTCACTTTATAAGAAGAGGCGTTTGTAGCATCTTCGTAGCAAATATGACGTATTTTATGACGTCATAAGATTTACTATAACATTTCGTAGCGGTAGGTGAACCAATCGTAGCGCTGCTACAAGTACTCTGCAGTACTTGTAGCGCTTAGGCCGGGTCTACAATAGGTAATTTAAGCATTAAGCCTTAAAAAATTGACCAATCACAGTCGAGTATTCTCTTCATACTTAACTGTGATAGGTCAATCTCTTAAGGCTTAAGGGCTTAAATTATCTATTGTAGACCCGGCCTTACTGGACCACACCATTAGACTAATATTACATTTGTCGTACGACAAATTTTTTAAGTGCATTGATTGGCTGCGGGATAGAAAATTTCTAAAGATTCAAAAAATTATTATCGCGCAGCCAATCAATGACCGGTATTCATAATCCGATCTTATATTTGAGATCGTCTTAAGTTCGAGCTTGAAATGCTACGCAGCTATTTGATTGGTTGAATGAGGTCTTAAGGCAACCTCCAAGCAGACTTAAGACGATCTTAAATATAAGATCGGACTATGAATACCGGCCTATGAATACCGGCCTTAAGACCTGATTCAGGATCGATTAGAGAACCTCTAGGAGAGAGAATGGACAACTGATCATGTGACATGTGATCAAGCTTTTTCATGATTGGCTGGCAGAAAATGTATCAATTTTAGCTATTGCGACGCCAATGCAAAATATGATGCACACAAATAGGTTAATATATGTGTGTCATGTGTGTCCTATTTGTGTGTCATCATATTTTCCATTGGCGTCGCAATAGCTAAAATTGATACATTTTCTGCCAGCCAATCATGAAAAAGCTTGATCAGTTGTCCATTCTCTATCCTAGAGGTTCTCTAGGATCGATGCCTTGGCCTGAAGGATAAATTTTGGAAAGCAAACAGCAAAGAATAGGGTTTTGGAACGCAGCCACATGATCTGTGGTGTGGCTCGTCAGCTGATGCGCGACAGATTACTTTATACACTGATTGTCAATTGGATGTGAAATTGCGTCGCTTAAAAATTTTATTTGCAAAATTAGTCAGCTTTTGAGAAAAATATAATGGCACTTCATTCTGCAGGAAAAGGAAAACTTCTAGCCGTGATTGGTGATGAGGTAAAATTGTGATTTTTTTATAAATTTTTTCACTAATTCATAATAACTTATCGAATTAAACTTCTTTTTTTCTAAATATATACATTTTAATATCTTAATATGAATAGATTTATAATTTTTTATTGTTTAATGCAAAAAAACTAGATTAGAAATGAATAACGAAATAAATTATATATTATTATTGTTATTGCTATAAATTATTGATATATATATATATATATATAAATATATGATTTAAATTTATATATATAAATTATTGATATGTATATAAATTTATCAATTAATTTTGTGATAATTTATGTAAATAAGAGATATTTTGTAAAATATTCCTAAGATGTGACTTCTCTTTCACTGATTGTATTATAATTTATTTGATTCATTAAATGGCTTGCTTTTCATGAATCATCACTAAATTAATAAAATAGCAACTTAGATACTTTAACTATTAGCTACTTATCCTTACAGCACAGAAAGGTTGTAGACATATTATAGAATAATTCATTGGACATAGTAAGATCGCAAATCGATTGCAAAGTTACTGGGACATTGTTGTAAGATTTTAGCAATATTACTTTTTGTAATATGTACAATGAAATATCATAGCAACATTGCAATATAATATAATATAATATGTTATTGTAATCTAGTAATAGTATATATAGAATGATTTTATTTCTGATAGATAAATATGTCGAAGCATATAGAAACATAAATTAAAAAGCTTGATATAAATAGAAGTTTAGTTTACCAACTTAATTAATAATATATTGTAAAATTATATCTAAACATAATCATATATATAGTATATATTTATAAATATATTATAGTATCTAATATTATATTTTATTTTTATTTTTCTATGTATTTTTCATGTACAAATATATGTAATTATAATGGCTTTTTAAAATTTTTAAGCAAAAGTAATATATAATTAATTTAATTCTTCTTATTAATGTTTCATATATTTGTACCATATAGAACACTTAAAATAAAAAAAAAATGATTTGTATAAATAAAAGTTTAAAATAATTTTATATCCAAAATATAATATTAATAATATAATAATATTAATAATATTAATATTATATACACACACACACACACACATATGTATACACTGTTATAGCAATATATTTATATGTTGTGATTTGATTTTAACGATTAAAATGCAAATTATTCTATGCTTTAATGTAAAATATTGTTATTTTGTTCTCTTTTAATAAAATGCTAAATTGTTATATATAAAAATTATTACAATGTTTTTTTATGTTTTATTCTTTATTAATATACTTAAAAACAATAAAAAATTCTTTTTTTTTGCTTGTACTAAATTTTCTTAAGTATTAAATTTTCTGTATTTTTTACTTTTATAATATGCTGTTTTTTTTATAAACACTTATAAACCACAATAAATTATACTGTACTGTAATAATGTTTGCAGATATATACAATTTAATTTTGCAAATTTTTATTTTTTTAAATATATATTTACATATTTAATAAAAAAATCAATATTAGCTTCTTGTATTATAAACTCAATTAATAAATATTGTTTTAGGATACTTGTGTGGGCTTTTTGCTGGGTGGAGTTGGAGAGATTAATAAACATCGCCAACCTAATTTCTTGGTGGTTGATAAAAGTATGTATATGTATATGTGTGTGTGTATATTGTAATGTGTGGTTCTCACATACAGAATGCAGTAATATTACACGCGGTAAGAATTAATTCAGTAGCCAATCATATTTTATGTCAAAAAGCATGATAATATATACAATGTTTTTCTCTGGAAAAACATGGGTAATCTGAAATTCTCTTTCTCTCTCTCTGCGATTTCTTTCATATTAAAAAAAACTTAGAAAATTCTCATGGGATTTTATTGAAACTCAGGGAATTTAAAAAGGAAATTTTCTCTGATAATTTTGCTCTCATATTGTAAACAAATCAAATGTGTGTGAATTATACGTTTAAAATATATATTATTAAATATATATATTAAAATATATATATTAAAATATATATTATAAATATATATTTATTTCTGTTTATATTTTCAATGAGTTAACAAAATATTTGTGCAGGACATATTCTTTATTATCATTTTTAATGATAAAAAGTGAAAATATTGTGCAAAAGAAAACTGTTTATCTTACGAAAATTATCCATTTTTTCAGTACATTACAAATCTATCATTTAAGAGATTTTGTTTTTTTCTTCGTATAAAAGAAATTTAGAAAACGTAAATAAAAAAATTTACTTCCGAAAATTGCATCAAAAAATCTTTGAAATATTTCTTTTAGCTGGAATTTTTAACAAACATCTGGATTAGAAAATTAGAAAATTTTCAGCTAATTTTTTTATAAGAGTTAAGTATAAATATTCCCCCTGATATACAATAGTGCAAATTTCCTGATTTTATATTGATGAAAACAGAGAATATACGTGCATGAAATTCATAACGTATCATACGTTATTAACTTTTTTTTACTTAAATTTCTATTAAAAAAGTGCAATGATTATCATTTATTATAACTTGATGGAAGAAACATGGCAGTTTAACTATTTCTAAAAAAGCATTTTAAAACTTCAAATTTTCACAAAACATTTAGAGTAAATACACAAATTCAAATCTCATAGGCTAATAAGGATCAAGATTGCAGATGATTATATATCATTTTCACAGAAAATTAATTTTTATATGAAACTGATTAGTGAACTTAAAGTATAAATTATTCTTAGTCCTATTAAGGAAATGTATAAATCTCAATTTGAGATTTTTAATTTATATGTTAATTCAATTTAGAACAAAGTTACAAAAAATTTTAGCATATATGATGTCGAAATTGAAGTTTTTTTCGTTAATTTTTCGCAGTTGATTTGAAAGTGATATCATCTACAAAAGAATTATCATCGAGAAAACAGTTTAATAGTATTTGACTATTGAAATTTCAAGCTTTAAAATGCTCGCAAAAATAATTCATAATTATTTTTCGCAAAATTACATGCATTTGATTTCATCAATTTTTCGATTCAAAGGGATAATTTTATTGAAGAGTGTATTTACACTTTCATGGTTTGGTGCAATTTTTTAATATTATTTTTGTAAAAAAAATCAGATTTAATAAAATATATATTAAAGTAATACTTTTTCGTACTATAAATTTTTAAAAAAGTGAAAAGCTAATTAAGTCAAAATTACATAAAATATTATTGCTCGTTTTGCTGCATCTTGTATGTATAAGTTAATGAAATGTACTCAATTAATTTATAAGGCATACTCTTGATTGAAAATTAATAACATTAATTATTATGCTTTTTTATAATTTAGGAAGTATTTAGCAATATATATATATATATATATATATATATATATATATATATATATATTTATATTTATATTTATATTTATACAGGGTGTTCCATTTTAACTTTGCCATCGAAATAATAAATATCTCGTAAAGTCTAAAAGATACGAAAAAATGTTTCAGACAAAAATTGGATGGTTTTGAGGGGAACATAAGATGGTGCCATTAGTTTGATCTTGAAGAGTCACCCGAAGATCACGTGAAGACCATCTCCAACTTTTTAAATGGGACATCCTATATGCTTTTGCATATTCTTGTAGCTCATCTCGAGAGCTTCCCAAAACACTATTACTAAAGTATTTTTTTTCATTGAGTACTTTCCGAATTATGAGGCTTGAAATTATTTCTTAATTTTACATAAACCGTAAAATATCTTGTAAAATATTTATTTTTCAATTATCTTACCTTAATACTTTTATGTACAAAATAATGAGAGGAATCAATTGGTGCAAAGAAAACACATAATTGTTTCGGAAAAAAATGTAATTTGCAATTTAACAATTACATTTCTTTTCTTAAAAATAACTATATGTTTTCTTTACATCAATTGATTTTTCTCATTATTTTGTACATAAAAGTATTAAGGTAAGACAATCGAAAAAATTAATATTTTATTGTTTATGTAAAATTAAGAAATTATTTCAAGTTTTGCGAAGCTCTCGAGCTAAGAGAATATATGATAAAATAGGGAGGTCCATTTAAAAAATTCAAAATGACCTTGTCCTGACATTGACTACGTCACCCAAGGTTAAACCAATGATATCATCTTATGTCCTCCTTCAAACCATACAACTTACATCTGAAACATTTTTCGACTTAACGCAATGTTTCTGACATATTTGAGTGGATCCTTTAAAATGGGATCCAATTGGTGTAATGAAAACATACAGTTGTTTTTAAGAAAAAATATGTAATTGTTAATTGCAAATTACATATTTTTTCTTCGGAACAATTATGTGTTTTTTTTAGACCAATTGATTCCTCTCATTATTTTGTACATAAAAGTATTAAGGTAAAATAATCGAAAAGTGAATATTTTACAAGATATTTTACGGTTTATGTAAAATTAAGAAATGATTTGAAGCCTCATAACTCGATAAATGCTTGAGGGAAAAATATTTTATTATAGTGTTTTGGAAAGCTCTCGAGGTCAGCTATAAGAATATACAATCAAAAATAGGGGTTCCCATTTAAAAAAAACACTTTAACCTTCAAATAACCTTGAAGGTCAAGCTCAAGGTCAAACTCAAGGTCACGAGATAAAAGCTCGGAGTAAGCCCTACAACTTTTGTCCGAAAAGTTTCTTTGTCCGACCCTTACTTTTCGAGTTATTCCCCTGTACCGGGACTTTTTGAACACCCTGTATATACATATACATGTACATGTATGTATATATATATTAAAGGAAATAAAATGATTTAATATGGTAAGATTTTAAGCAAGTTAGAATAAAATTTTACTATTTATTTACAAACATATTCTATTTTAATTGCTGATAATTTAAACTACATTTGTAAAGTTTTATTAGGAAAAAAAATTATATTAATTTTCAGAAATATACATTACTTGTTGCAGAGTATCCTTATACATATTATAATGTAAATGGAACACAAATTAATGTTAAATAATGATTGTCATAGATACAGCGATAAGCGAGATAGAGGACATGTTCAAACGCTTTATTAAGCGTGATGATATTGATATCATTCTTATTAATCAAAATGTAAGTAGTCAAAAGATATCAAATAAAACGATATAATTCCACATTTGTTTAAATCAATATAAAATATATTTAAATATATTGATAAAAATATATTTAAATATATTGATAAGCAAATTTTATTAGTTAAAATTTAGAGAGATTTATATATAGATAAGATTATTAATATTACAATTAGTAATTACACCATTTTCTAGTTAATTGAAATATTCTAACTATAAGATCAATTTTTTAAAAATACTTTAAAGGGCGTTTTCCCTCAAACTTCGGTGGAAAATATCTCAGATAACTATAATTAACAAAAATTATATTTTTCTTAATTCGTTATAAATAATTATTTAAAAAATATTAATTAGTCGGAACTTTGCGTAAAAATGTTTCCAAAGAATAGAACTTTTATAGAATTGTCCAAAACTGCCGTTAAAACTACGGAAAATTATTAGCACGACGCATTTTCACTAAGTGTGCTGATCGAGGACATTAAAAATAGTTTAAAAATTATTAATTTTTGGAATATCGATCTAAAATTGTATATATAGGCTGAATTATCGAGAACTGTTGTCAAAAATAGTAATTTTCGCGTTTTAGTACTTTAGAGGAAAAGTGTTGTGCTGGGTAATTGTAAAAAATTATTTAAAAAATAGTAAATAGTCGGAACTCTGCGTAAAAAATGTTCCTAAAGAATAGAACTTTTATAGAACTGTCCAGAACTGCCGTTAAAACTACGGGAAATCATCAGCACAATACATTTTTACTAAGTGTCATGCTGGTTGAGAACATTAAAAATTCATAAAAAATTATTAATATTGAAATATCACGCGCGATCGGCAGCTCGGCCGTTGAGCCTCAGACAGTAGTAGGTTTAGTTCAATATAATGTGTACAATAATAATAATAATAATAAATACGTAGCTTTAATAATAATAATAATAATAATAATAATAATAATAATAATAAATCCATACTACATAAGTTCAACTTTTAATTTGCTTTAATTTTACACATTATATTCGAACCTTCGATACGGTCAATCAAAAAAATTGACATTTATGTACTGATCAATTTATTATGCAGTCGATAATTTCCTGCATGATAAAAAGATTGACATACGAAATAAAACCCACCTTGTATATGGGGCATTCCACGCCAAATCGGACGGTTTAAAAAATTTTTGTTTTTGATTTTCTTAATTTTTAGGTATTTTTTAGTACCCCTCAAAAGAGGCTTCCTGGTAATTTTTGAGATTTTTTTGATCACTGGTTCAAAAAATATCGAATTTTCAAAAAAACCGCTCTTTTTTTGGCTTTTTGCTCATAACTTTCTTAATAATGGTCGAAATTCAATTTTTTTTTTCAAAATTTTCGTTTTTAGATGGCCTTTACAGAAAAAAAATACAAACAAAATATTTAAAGTGTTTTTAATCGAGATTTTTGAATTTTAAGTTTTCAATCGTGTTTTTAAAATTGTGTGTATCCTTCGATTTTCTTGAAAATTTTCTGTTTTAAACTTCTATCCATCCTGCAACTTTTAAGCCCGGTCTGGTAGTGGGCCTTCCATAATTACTATTTTTTTTCGATTTTTAAAAATAAAAAAAATTTTTTTTTCGCTATAAATTATTATCAATACCGATTTTTGACACTGTATACTTTGTTTTTACTTATTATAAATTAATTTCGATATTTTTTTGTTTTGAGTAGAGATTTAAAAGCAGTAAGTAAAAGTTAATTCTATTTATGAGCAATTATAACAAACGTTTTTATTTATTTTCGTGTTCCTTTAAAAATTGTTTCAAAATTATATTATAAATGCTTTTTTTTGTTGTAAAGTATTTTTTTATTTATTTAAATATTCGTGTCTTTACGAATTTCTATCCAATTTAAAAAGAGTTGCACATGTTAATAACTTCCTCACGTGGTGGCGCTGCTGATTGTTTCTTTATACCAACGTACATAGTTTATTTATTCGTATCATAACCTCCGTCACATCATCCACTACTGGAAGCTTGATTCATAGTTAGTTGTGTGTTTTTATTTGGAATTTAATAAAAAATATTTAAATATGGCATCTAAATCAGGACAAAAAAAAACAAAAAAATATCGAAATTAATTTATAATAAGTAAAAACAAAGTATACAGTGTCAAAAATCGGTACTGATAATAATTTATAGCGAAAAAAAAATTTTTTTAATTTTTAAAAATCGAAAAAAAATAGTAATTATGGAAGGCCCACTACCAGACCGGGCTTAAAAGTTGCAGGATGGATAGAAGTTTAAAATAGAAAATCTTCAAAAAAATCGAAGGATACACACAATTTTAAAAACACGATTGAAAACTTAAAATTCAAAAATCTCGATTAAAAACACTTTAAATATTTTATTTGTATTTTTTTCCGGTAAAGGCCATCTAAAAACGAAAATTTTGAAAAAAAAAATTGAATTTCGACCATTATTAAGAAAGTTATGAGCAAAAAGCCAAAAAAAGAGCGGTTTTTTTGAAAATTCGATATTTTTTGAACCAGTGATCAAAAAAATCTCAAAAGTTACCAGGAAGCCTCTTTTGAGGGGTACTAAAAAATACCTAAAAATTAAGAAAATCAAAAACAAAAATTTTTTAAACCGTCCGATTTGGCGTGGAATGCCCCATATATATGTATATATAATATTTATTATAGTTCTAATATAAAAATTATTTCATTAACATCTTTTTTTCTCATTTTTGCATTATATTTTAATAATTATGGTTATAGAAGTAAACTTTTGTTTTTATTGTTTCATCAAGTAATTATCCAAATAATACTTAATTACATTAATGTTACACTCGGTGTTTAATTTTAGGTAGCTGAAATGATTCGTCATGTAATCGACAGTCACACTCAGCCAATACCTTCCGTACTGGAAATCCCGAGCAAGGATCATCCATATGACGCCAGCAAAGATTCGATCTTAAGACGCGCTAAGGTACGATTTTTCGCATACGATCATTTAATAAGCACAGCAGACTATTGATGTCACAAGTTAGAAATTCTATTCTACAGAAAATTTACTAGCTGAAATTACTGTTACAGGGTATGTTCAATCCAGAAGATATTCATTAATATAAATATGGCATTATACTGAAATTGTGTACAGTAAAATAGGATTATTTGATTAATTATCGCATTTTACGTATCTATCTTTGTTTCTTTATTCAGTAAATGTAATATGAAATATTGCTGTAACATGTATAATACTTTCATTTAAATAAAAAATAAATTTAAAAAATGATTTTTAAAAAATGAAATTTCTCATTACATTATCATGCATACATATGCAAACATATTTATAATATACATCTATACACACACACATACACACACACACACACACACACACACACACAATTAGTAACTGACAAATATATGTATTTTTCTAATTATAAGATTATAATTATAAGATGGCATTATAATATATTGTTAATTTTTAATTTAAATCCTAAAATTACAAAAAAAATTGCTGATTATTCTATTGTTACAAATCTTTATTAAAATTATATCTACATTAATTAATTAGAAGTTAAAATCGTAACACAATATTATAAAGATGAATCGGGAGAAGGTCAATTACGAATAACGATTTATTCAAAGACTGTATATTCAAAATAACAATAAATAAAATAATTATACATCAGAATATTAACAAGGGAACCTTGTGAACTTCTAAAAATTCTGATTTTAATAGTAGAGTAAATAGATGGATTTAGAAATTTTCAGTTGCAGTCCAAACAGGATTCTAAAGAATGAAATCCCTTCATATGTAGAGCGATATTTCACTTTTCTCGTTATAGCTTGAAAATTATTCATATCGAATGTTTTACAAAAATTTGTTTTATACAAAAGTTTCATGGTAAAATTACCTCTATTTAATTATATCAATAAAATTAAAAAAAGATTTTTTTGAAGTTTTTTAAAAAATTTGTAAAAAAATTATTTTTAAAAAATTTTATTAATATGGTTAAATAGAGATGTTTTAATCATGAAACTTTTGTAGAAAACACTCTGTTATCTTGATAATTTTCTAAATAAAAGTAAAAAGAAGCAAACAGTCTCTCCTTAATTTAGGGATGATTTTACATGTTAGAAATGTTTTTGAGTGGCAACTGAAAATTTTTAAATTCATCTATTTATCTCCTTACATGTATGTAAAATTTCAAAATTTAACACTTTGCAAGATTCCTTTAAATACATAAATTATATTATTACATTGATATGTATATGTGATTATATATTATAGCGGCACCACAAAATTAAAATTTTTTAGCAATTCTTTTAATATGTATAATTAAATTTAAGGTTGCTTCATATAATAAGAAAATCTCTTTTACACTTCAGCTTTCTTTTAATGCGAGTATGTATTTCGAACAAAAATAGTGTAATGTTGATTCGGAAAAGTTAAATTATTTGAAAATGAAAGATTTTTGTATGAAAATAACTAATAATAATTTAAATTACTTTAGAAAAAGAAAATTATTTTTATAACTGATCATTTTTTAATTTCAATATATTTTTATCAAAATCAGTGTACACGTGCTAAAATATAAAAAAATATAAAATATATAGCACAATCTTGATATCAGAAAATAATTATATAAAATATCGAAAAATCTGTGAAAGCAAAAGCTTTGTATATTTATTGAAATTCGCGTTAAAGCAAAACGCGGAGAAATTCAAATTATTATTTTGCAAAAATATTTGTGTACAATCTGAATCGCTGGAGACATAGACGTATTTTCTAATTATTCGTGTTAAAAGACACAATTAAATACTAACGTACTTACATATGCATAATCGCACTATAAGTTTTTTTAGAAGAAATTCCATGGATTCCTTTCTATAAAAAATTTGTAGTGAGATTATGTATATATAACAACACTATATGATACTGAACACTATATGAATCCTATTTAGTTATCCTAATATTTACAATTAAAAAATTGACTGTCTTCAAATTTTTATATTGCTAATGCAATATATATATATATATATATATATATATATATATATATATATATATATATATATTGCATTAGCAATATAAAAATTTGAAGAAAGTAATAATAATAATAATAATAATAATATATATATATATTATTACATGCTTCACTTAAAACCCTACAATTTTTATATAAAACATTTTTCTTGAAAATGCGTACTTTTCGAAATATTAAGGGATTTCAACACTTTTTATGCACTCCTATAAAACGCTGTTTTTTCTAAACCATAGTGAATACGAAAAAATTTGTTTACATTATGTGTTCTACTCCTCTTTTACCTCCTATTTGATTGACTTTACCAGATGCCTTGTATATTAGAATAATTGGAATTATTAAAATTTATTATTTATTAATTGTATGTGTAAATTAATAAATAATAAATTCTAATAATTCTAATTTTTGGGGTTTATGCAATAATAAATCCCTGGGTTTATAATCTGTGTGTAACTCAATGTTTTAAAGTATTAGAAAAATTAAAAAAATTAGATATCTCCTTTGTAGTTATTGTGTCTCGAGATTCACGGAAAAATTAAAGGATTTGAAGGAATTAAAGGAATTAAAGTTACAGATTGCGCCCAAAAATTCGATTTGCTGGCTTATCTTATTAAATTTATTCAATAAAATAATTGAGCCCTCGCATTGATTTGTTTGATTATATGTATCATTTTTGCAGCTGTTAAAACTGATATATACAATCTGTTCAATAATAACCATGTCACCTCTCGTGTGCAGATAGAGTGAATTCGATCCTTACACTTGTCTAGAGATAACTGTTAGTGATTTTCTAAAAGGTGTACTCAACGTTCACACATGCGGTAGTTTAAATATATCTGTGTCTGCTACCTCCATGAGATACGTCCCTATTTCTAATTTAACTATTTTTTATCTATTTTCATCTATATTAAAAGAAAACATTCTAATTTAAAAATATGTTTTTAATGAAATTTTATTCTCCCAGGAGCTCTTCAATTCCATCATCCTTATCGGAACCATCTTGCCGTTCCACTGTCATTTTGTATCCCAATAGCTCAAGAAGATTTATATTAAAGTAATAACTCAGATTTATTCCTGGTACCAAGCGTTTCAATTCTTCGATAGTAGCCCAAGCTTTCTTAGTATCTCCTATATTGACATAATGCTGTGTAATAGTCGCAAATAAATCACCGCGACGTACCGATTGTTCCAGATTGGACCCTTGCGAATCCAGTAAATATCGAACCTGTTGCATTGCTGTCTCCGTTTCTCCCCTTTCAAATAATCTGCATAACAAAGAGAAGAAATATTTGAATATACATATGAAAGAAATAAAATTGAATACATAAAAGAAATATTTTTATATCTCATAATTAAACTATTAATACAGGAATAAAATGTGTGAAAAACTTTCATTATTTAAATAAAAGTAGATACACAAGTTAATCTCTGATACGATATAATATGAAATATATATATGTTATAAGTGGAGCAGAATATTTTTAATCTTAATCTATTCTCTTTTAAAATATAAATCTTTTTCCTTTCTTTGCTAGATTTTTACTTATTACGAGATATAGTACCATTTTTATTTTCTATATACAGGTGAACCAATAACTCTGTCCACTTGGAATATCTCCGTTATTTTTAGAGATACAAAAATTTTGTACTTATAAGAGTTGTACGGTATTAAAAAATAGTTTTTTTTTTTAAATATGTAATTTGCAATTAACAATTTCGTATTTTTTCTTATTATAAAAACAACTGTATGTTTTCTTTACACCAATTGATTCCTCTCATTATTTTGTACATAAAAGCATTAAGGGAAGATAATCGAAAAATGAATATTTTACTAAATATTTTATGGTTTATGTAAAATTAAGAAATGATTTCAACCCTCATAACTCAAAAAGTACTCAATGAAGAAATACTTTATTATACTGTTTTGAACTAGAATATTTAATCAAAAATAGGGAGTTCCATTTAAGAAATTGACGGTGATCTTCACGTGACTTTCAAATGACTCTCCCATGTCAAATCATTGCCATTATCTGATGGCCCTCTTCAAGCCATACAACTTTTGTCTGAAACATTTCTTTCTAAAGTGCATAGTTTATGAAATATACGACCGATCCGGGACTTTTGGGACACCCTGTATAAGCTGGACCGACCAAAAAGTCGATACTTATTCCCATCCAGCTGCCTGCCTGCTTAGTGCTTTTGAGAATTACCGAAATCGATAAAAGTTTATATTAGGGGACTCACTTCCGATGAGCTTCACCTTGACATATGTTATCAAGGTCACTGTCCTAAGTAACATGCAAAAGATTTTAGCTGTTGTTTATTAAAAAGTTATAAACAAAAAAAGTTTTACGAATTTCACATAATTTTCAGACCAGATCCGAAAGTGGATTTTTTGCCATTTCGACAGAAAGGATTCGCTCTCCTTCTTGGAGAATACGGAAAAAATTCTAGACCAGCTATGGCCTGAAGATCATCTCCTGTTGGAGATCCTCTCGGAACTCCTACGAGGTGCTCTCTTGGGATATTAAAAAAATCGTGACATTTAGGATAGCTGGGTCAGCTTCTGCGAACAACTCCACATCCACTTCTTGCCATTCAGCAATCAGACTCAACTAAAGCGCGAAATAAACGGCAGTTCCCAATAGTCGAGAGAAGCTTTCCGAGTTTATTATACAGGGTGTCCCAAAAGTCCCGGACCGGTCGAATATTTCATAAACTATGCACTTTAGAAAGAAGTGTTTCAGACAAAAGTTGTATGGCTTGAAGGGGGCCATAAGATAGTGGCAATGATTTGACATGGGAGAATCATTTGAAAGTCACGTTAAGATAACCGTCAATTTCTTAAATGGAACTCCCTATTTTTATTACATATTCGTATAGCTTATCTCCAGAGCTTTCCAAAACACTATAATTAAATATTTCTTCATTGAGTACTTTTCGAGTTATGAGGCTTGAAATCATTTCTTAATTTTACAAAAACCGTAAAATATCTTGTAAAATATTCATTTTTCGATTATCTTACCTTAATAATTTTATGTACAAAATAATGAGAGGAATCAATTGGTGTAAAGAAAACACATAATTGTTTTTAAGAAAAAAATATGTAATTTGCAATTAACAATTACATATTTTTTTTAAAACAACTACTGTGTTTTCTTTACACCAATTGATTCCTCTCATTATTTTGTACATAAAATTATTAAGGTAAGATAATCAAAAAATGAATATTTTACTAGATATTTTATGCAAAATTAAAAAATGATTTCAAGCCTCATAACTCGAAAAGTACTCAATGAAGAAATACTTTATTATAGTGTTTTGGAAAGCTCTCTCGAGATAAGCTACACGAATATATAATAAAAAATAGGGGTTCCATTTAAGAAATTGACGGTGATCTTCATGACTTTCAAATGACTCTCCCATGTCAAATCATTGCCACTATCTGATGGACTCCTTCAAGCCATACAACTTTTGTCTGAAACATTTCTTTCTAAAGTGCATAGTTTATGAAATATTCGACCGGTCCGGAACTTTTGGGACACTCTATGTAAGCCAGTGTATTGCCAGTGTATTGCCAGTGCAATGCTTCCCCCAGGCGGAATCCACTCCGACTATCACTATACTGCTACAAAACGAATGGGGGGACAACCGGCTGGTATATGGCTGGACTGACCGGAGACACCTATCCCGCGTATCAACCCAGTCTCCTGCCTGTCTAGTGCCTCTGGGAGCTACCGAGGATTTTCCATTTGTGTGACTTCCTGACTATTCCCGCTGACAAAGAAGAACACACATTCTCGCGCTCTAGATCGCAGAGTTTTAGTAATAAAATCGCGATTGATTGTAGATCTGCGAATCAGTTCTAGATATACGTTTAATCAGTTTTAAGCCCTCTTCTTGCTTGGCCGGTTTAAAGGCGTTTAACATTGTAATCATTTTTCATACTATTGTACTTATTATTTCTTAATAAACTCTTTTCTACATTCATATCGATATCTCGCGAATTTGGATTTCCTTCTATTCCCAAATCCTGGACACCGGCAAGTTAGGCTCCGAGGCATTCGGAATGGGCGAACCCGTTACAATTTTATTATTTATTATTTAATTTTTCATAAACTTTTATGTTGCAATATCATCGATCAAATTTTTCACACTGATAAATTTAGCATTAGATTTTGAATTTACCTTTTAATATCTAAATAACGTTTAATCGTTGACATCCTATTGTTGACCAATTCCACTGCTCGTTTGTGAACATCCGGATCACGTGGTGTTACTACCTTAATTAAACACCTACTAGCTTGATTTAATGCGTCCAGTGCTTTTTCATAATTCTGAAATTCATCGATTTCCACCTGTGCACATGCTACATAAAAATTTGCCAACAAATCCATTGCTTTGCCTTTGGAATAAAAATTGATGATATTGTTCAGAATCTCTGGTTGATTCTGCCAATCTAAAGATTGCAAATAATTGCCTGCCATAATATAGATCTCGCTATTTCTCGAGACTTGCGCAAAGAAACAGATCTTCTCGGTATCGCCAGACTTGAGCAATGCTTTCATAGCACGCAACTTGTTACCAGCTTGTGTAAATTTCTTAGTCGCAAGGTGATAATTTCCTTGATCGAAACCGATTTCCGCGATTTTCTCAAGCGTATAAATTCGCAAATGTTCGTGTTCTACATCATCATTGTTTCTCTTTTCGACTGTTAGCTTTTCTGCGAGCTCCTCACTTAACACAATATTATGTTGCTGAATCAACTCTAAAGCTGCTATGTAGTCTTTGCCAGTCGCGAGCAGATCTACTGCTTTGTCGATTTGGTCATTTTGTATGAAATAATCGGCGCACTTGCGAATCAATGCTGGATCGGAATCTGCATTTACATCCATGATAATCAATTGTAATGCGCTATATTGTCGCGTTCTAAATGCAACATCCAAAGCTTTATGTAACAGATTAGCTTTGTGATACAGCAACACCGCACGATCTGGTTGGTCATTATCTTCATAAAACTTAGCAACGTCTATCTGTGAATGTCGTGGCGCTAATATAGCCAATGGCCACAATTCTTCCAGCATGTTATGCTCCTGTAAATAAGGCGTATAAAAGTGAGTCTTTTTATAATTAATTTCATTTAAATGTTGCTTGATTAGAAACTACTGTCGGTATATGTCATGCGAAATTGTTTCTCTTTTAGTAACAAAAGTGCCTCATAAAGGACTAGTTAAAGATGTAAATGAGATGAACCACTGTTATATTAATGTCATTCTAAAAGTAATAAAACAGAAAATTACAAATAATATATAAGGGTGGACCAATAACTCTGTCGTGGAATATCTCCGTTATTTTTAGAGATACAAAAATTTCGTACGTATAAAAGTTGTACGATACCAAGAGGGCCGTAATATGCTACTAATAATTTTTTTGTAGGTGAAGACGCTTCAGAGATTTCAAGATCATCTCCATTTTTTTAAATGGAACCCCCCATTTTTTATTACCTATTCTTATAGCTTATCTTGAGAGCTTTCCATAATAAAATATTTCTTCATTGAGTACTTTTCGAGTTATGGCTTGAGGCTTGAAATAATTTCTTAATTTTACATAAACCATAAAATATCTAGTAAAATATTCATTTTTTTATTATTTTACCTTAATATTTTTATATATAAAATAATGAGAGAAATCAATTGGTGTAAAGAAAAAATAGTTGTTTTTAAAAAAAATATGTAATTGTTAATTGCAAATTACATATTTTTTTCTGAAAAATAACTATGTTTTTTCTTTACACCAATTGATTCCTCTCATTATTTTGTATATAAAAGTATTAAGGTAAGATAATCGAAAAATGAATATTTTACTAGATATTTTATGGTTTATGCAAAATTAAGAAATGATTTCAAGCCTCATAACTCGAAAAGTACTCAATGAAGAAATACTTTATTAGTGTTTTGGAAAGCTTTCGAGATAAGCTACAAGAATATGCAATGAAAAATAGTAGGTTCTATTTAAGAAATTTAAGGTGATCTTTATGTGACCTTCAAATGACTGTTTAAGGTCAAACCAAGGTCACTATCTGATGGCTCCCTTCAAGCCATACAACTTTTGTCTGAAACATTTCTTTCTAAAGTGCATAGATTATGAAATATTCGACCGGTCCGGGATTTTTGGGACACTCTGTACCATATATGTCCACTTTAAAATAAAAATTTATTCTCTCTCTCTTTTTCACTCACTCAAAAGATAGAAGAATGGAGAATTAAACATAAAAAAAAGAAAAGACAAAAATTTCTATATTACAATATTAAACATTTTACCTTGCAGAGTCGAATCGCATTAGTATAAGCTTTAGCGACTGTATAAAAGTGGATCGCTTGTGTCACATTATTCTTCGATTCGTAATGCGCAGCAAGGTGATATGCTGATGCAGCATGACTTGTTTTGGTTACTAATTCACATGCTTCATCTTCTCTTTTGAAATAACAAAATAATCTTGTCATTGACAAAGTATCTTTTGCTTGCTCATAAAGATGTAAAGCGGTTTCCATGTCGCCAGTCGATTCAGTGTATTGGGCATGCCAATTTTTAATTTCCCTATTAATATAATTATTATAAATAACTTTTTTTTCAATTAATGTTGATCACGCCACTTACAATTCTTCGGTATTATTGAGATATGCAAGAAGCTCCCGAGGCCTCGTCAAAAGCATTCTGGGTACTTCAAATCGATGGCAATCAGCTTTCGTGTACATATCGATAGCTTCTGCTATTTTACCTTGTTGCTCCAATGTACGAGCGTAATTATAGTAACTTGTTTTTTCGCGAATCTTATTCTCACTGCTGGCTATTTCAATTGCTTCCTTAAATTTGTTTCGAGCCTCAAATAATTGTTCCAGAAGATCTAGACGTTTCGCTTCTCGAAACAAATGTTCAGCATCAGTCTGTAGTTTAGAGACCATTATGTATTTTATTTTGTAACATTAATTAAAAAACATTTATATATATAGGGTATTTCATTTTAATCGCCCCAGGCAAATATCTCGAAAAATATGGAAATTATGAAAAAATGTTTCGGACAAAAGTTGTATGGTTTCGAGGGGGCCATAAGATAGTGACATTGGTTTGACCTTGAACAGTTATTTGAAGGTCACATAAAGGTCACCTTAAATTTCTTAAATAGAATCTACTATTTTTCATTGCATATTCTTGTAGCTTATCTCGAGAGCTTTCCAAAACACTATAATTAATTATTTTTTCATGAAGTACTTTTCGAGTTAGAAGGCTTGAAATCATTTCTTAATTTTACATAAACTATAAAATATCTTGTAAAATATTCATTTTTCGATTATTTTACCTTAATACTTTTTATGTACAAAATAATGAGAGGAATCAATTGGTGTAAAGAAAACATACAGTTGTTTTTAAGAAAAAATATGGAATTGTTAATTGCAAATTACATATTTTTTCTTAGAAACAACTTTGTGTTTTCTTTGGAAAGCTCTCGAGATAAGGCTACAATAATATGCAATAATATATAAAATGTTTCATTTAAGAAATTTAAGGTCCTTTATGTGACCTTCAAATGATTCAAGGTTAAACCAATGTTACTATCTTATGGCCCCCTCGAAACCATACAACTTTTGTCCGAAACATTTTTTCATAATTTCCATATTTTTCGAGATATTTGCCTGAGGCGATTAAAATGAAACACCCTGTATATATATATATATATATATATATATATATATATATACATATACAGGGTGGGGAAAAAGTATGAAAGCAAACAATTATTTCCAAAACTATTCATTTTTCGACAAAATGTCTTAGACATAATTTTTATGGTATGAAAAGATGTATTATGTGGCATAGACGGCATGACCTTGAAATGACCCTTACGAGCTGCATACAAATAACGTAAAAAATTTCAAATGGAACTCGTCAGTTTTTGTTACAGATTCTTGTAGTTGATGTCGAAACGTTTACAAAACACTGCATATGAGCCCCATTCCCTTAAAAACACTCCCAGTTACGAAACAATTGTGATACAAACAATTTGTATGCACATTGACATTGCTTACTGATTTCGCATCATGACGTTCAGTTGCGTCCACTAATAACATGTAATTGTACCTGTTGTACCGCACTTATCTTGCCTTAACTGGTTGGATGAATCGCACTTATCTTACCTTAACTGGTTGGATGAATCGCACTTATCTTGCCTTAACTGGTTGGATGAATCGCACTTATCTTGTCTTAACTGGTTGGATGAATCGCACTTATCTTGCCTTAACTGGTTGGATGAATCGCACTTATCTTGCCTTAACTGGTTGGATGAATCGCACTTATCTTGTCTTAACTGGTTGGATGAATCGCACTTATCTTGTCTTAACTGGTTGGATGAATCGCACTTATCTTCCCTTAACTGGTTGGATGAATCGCACTTATCTTGCCTTAATTGGTTGGATGAATCGCACTTATCTTGCCTTAACTGGTTGGATGAATCGCACTTATCTTGCCTTAACTGGTTGGATGAATCGCACTTATCTTGCCTTAACTGGTTGGATGAATCGCACTTATCTTGCCTTAACTGGTTGGATGAATCGCACTTATCTTGTCTTAACTGGTTGGATGAATCGCACTTATCTTGTCTTAACTGGTTGGATGAATCGCACTTATCTTGTCTTAACTGGTTGGATGAATCGCACTTATCTTCCCTTAACTGGTTGGATGAATCGCACTTATCTTGTCTTAACTGGTTGGATGAATCGCACTTATCTTGCCTTAACTGGTTGGATGAATCGCACTTATCTTGTCTTAACTGGTTGGATGAATCGCACTTATCTTGCCTTAACTGGTTGGATGAATCGCACTTATCTTGCCTTAACTGGTTGGATGAATCGCACTTATCTTACCTTAACTGGTTGGATGAATCACGCAATCTCTTTCCTTGAGTACGGTTCGATGTACGCCTTAACTGATTCTACGAACTTCGCGTATCTTTCGTATCGGCAGAAATGATCGAAGCGGGTTATTCTCCATTTGTTGCAATAATTGCTACTGTTGTACTGATCTCTCATAATGACGTTCAATCGCGTTACACACATTCATGTAATCACACGTACGCTGTCTATTTTCAATTTCGTCGATACGAATTATCACAATTGTTTCGTAACTGGGAGTGTTTTTAAGGGAATGGGGCTCATATGCAGTGTTTTGTAAACGTTTCGACATCAGCTACAAGAATCTGTAACAAAAACTGACGAGTTCCATTTGAAATTTTTTACGTTATTTGTATGCAGCTCGTAAGGGTCATTTCAAGGTCATGCCGTCTATGCTACATAATACATCTTTTCATACCATAAAAATTATGTCTAAGACATTTTGTCGAAAAATGAATAGTTTCGGAAATAATTGTTTGCTTCCATACTTTTCCCCACCCTGTATGTATGTATATTAACAACTTACATAGAGACCAAGTTCAACAGCCAGTATTCCTACTTGTGCTTCTAGATTCAAAGCATCGTTTTGCATTGCTTCACGTAGAGCCCGTGCAGCATTAGCTTGCTTCATGTGACCCAGACAAAGTAGAGCCATGTTTAATTGCTTTGTTTTTACGCACATTTTAGCTAAACTTTTCCAAACAGCCTCGTTTTTTATGGATTTAATAGCTTTAAAAGCCTCCTCCATGTTTGCCACACTAATATGATAACTAAAATCCATTACTGCCTTCCTCGTGACAGAATCGCAATCTCCCAATTCTTCAAAATCTCTCATTAACAACTGTACAATTTTACTGTTTTTATCCAAATTTTTTTCAGAGTTCAGGATAATGATATATGGCGAATGCACACCTAATAATCGACAGTTCTCGTCAGCTATTGGTTTCACGTCTTGCACGACAATACCATGATCTGATGTTGCGAATAATGATACCAATACTACGGAGGCTTGCATAATCTAAATAAAAAACGGATTATCAACAATGATCATAGTAAACTAAAGATTATAATTATATATTACTTTTCTTTTTTATTCTTTATATAAAACTTAATAATTATGTAATTAATGAAATTTAATGAAATATAATTAGTGAAATTTTTGTAATGAAATTTACAATAACGATTTAATAATAATTATAATAATAATAAAAATTTATAATAATGAATTATTTACAGAGTATCTACTCAAATCTTGAAACAATATTTCTTGAAAATTCCCTGATTTCCAAAGTATTTTTATTTAAAATTTCAGATGGAGAAAATATTTTAAAGATTTTTGGGTGCAGATTACAATAAGTTTTTTAATATATACGTTTTTTAATACTTTTTACTTAAACAGAGAAAAAATGCAAAGCTACTTAAGTTTCATATAATAAATTTATAAATGTATTGAAAAAATTTAATAGTAAGATCAATATTTTTCACTTGCATAACATTTTCATATACATATATATATATATATATATATATATATATATATACCGGGTGTTTCAGACCACCCGTACACCCCATTTTAAAGCAAAGGAAGTGGTTATTTTGAAAAATGTTTCAGACAAAAGTTGTTGAAGATAAAGTAATGCATTACATGGGTAAATTTGATTGACCTTGGGTGGCGTCGTGAAGGTCATGTCAAGGTCGACTTGAATTTTTTAAATGGGAACCCCTATTTTTCATTGCATATTCTTGTAGCTTATCTCGAGAGCTTTCCAAAACACTATAATTAAGTACCTTTTTATTAAGTACTTTTTGAGTTATAAGGCTTGAAATAATTTCTTAATTTTATATAAACCATAAAATATCTAGTAAACCATTCATTTTTCGATTATCTTACCTTCATACTTTTATGTACAAAATAATGAGAGGAATCAATTGGTGTAAAGAAAACACATAGTTGTTTCTAAGAAAAAATATGGAATTGTTAATTGCAAATTACATATTTTTTCTTAGAAACAACTATGTGTTTTCTTTACACCAATTGATTCCTCTCATTATTTTGTACATAAAAGTATGAAGGTAAGATAATCGAAAAATGAATGGTTTACTAGATATTTTATGGTTTATGTAAAATTAAGAAATTATTTCAAGCCTTATAACTCAAAAAGTACTTAATAAAAAGGTACTTAATTATAGTGTTTTGGAAAGCTCTCGAGATAAGCTACAAGAATATGCAATGAAAAATAGGGGTTCCCATTTAAAAAATTCAAGTCGACCTTGACATGACCTTCACGACGCCACCCAAGGTCAATCAAATTTACCCATGTAATGCATTACTTTATCTTCAACAACTTTTGTCTGAAACATTTTTCAAAATAACCACTTCCTTTACTTTAAAATGGGGTGTACGGGTGGTCTGAAACACCCGGTATATATACAGGGTCTACCAAAAGTGTGGAAACCCCTAAATATCTCGGAAAATATACGTTTTACAGAAAAGTGTTTCCAACAAAAGTTGTAGGGTTTAAGAAGATCTATATACTGATTCTATCAGTTTGACCTTGGATGGCGTCGTCAAGGTCAGGTCAAGGTCACATTGACTTTTTTAAATGACACCCCCTACATTTGATTGCATATTCTTATAGCTTAATTCAAGAGCTTTCCAAAACACTATAATAATGTTCATTTTTATTAAGTACTTTGCGAGTTATGAGGGTTGAATGATAGAGTAGCGCCGGTATTAACATTATCCAAGGTGTACTACATGGAGGTTACTCGCTCGGATTTGCATCTGTTGTGTGTGTGATCCAGCTAACTAAGGCAAGATCGATTCCTCAACATATCCTCATATTTCGCTGAAGTCAAATTGCCAAAAAATTGCTCCATAAAACGTGTATGAAACGTCTCGTTAGTTCCTTCATTTACCGCTATGTGACGCACTACATGCAGTCTAACTCGCATTTAAAATTCAACTAAGAATGTATAAAGCTATCAAAGAACGAGCACCTTCTAACTTCAGCTTTGAGCAAGCAGAAATTAATTGTTATCGTCCAAATACAACGTACGATTAATTAAAATTAAACGTTTTAAAAATGGCTGGCGACTTGTCGGAACGTGAAAGAATCACTATCCTCATGATGCGTGGATGGGGTGATAACGAAAGATCGTTCTCTGATGTCGTTCGATTATTTAATGACACGTATCCGAACCGTCGAATTAATAAGTCCACTGTGTTAAAAACAATAGAACGTTTTAGACAAACTGGTAGCGTAAGAAATCGCTCTAAGTCAGGAAGACCATTGTCTGCAACCAACGAAGAAAAACAACTTGATGTTCTGCAGACATTTATTGAAGATCCCAATTCTAGTGTTCAGAGAGTCGCTCAAACTCACGATATTGCTCCCATGTCGGTTTGGAGAATTTTAAAGAAGAACAAGTTCCATCCATATAAATTGCAATACGTTCAAGAATTGCAAAACGGAGATGAGGAGCGTCGTATACATTTCTGTGAAAGAATGATGGCACTAATAGATGTCCGGCCCATCTTCCCTTATCAAATTGTTTTCACAGACGAGGCAACTTTTACCTTAACGGGAGAAGTTAATAATCAAAATTTTCGTTTCTGGTCAGATGAGAATCCGAATTGGGTGCGGGAAACTCACACAAAACATCCACAAAAAATAAATGTATGGTGCGGAATAATAGATGGCTATTTAATAGGGCCGTTTTTTTTTGAAGAATATTTGAACGCTCAAAGGTATGAGAGATTACTTGTTGATCAAATAATTCCAGCCATACAGAATACTTTTCCAAATAATTTCCAAGAAATATGGTTTCAGCATGATGGAGCTCCTGCTCATTTTGGTGCAGGACCACGTCGTATTTTAAATGAGACTTTTCCGCTACGGTGGATAGGAAGAAGGAACGGAAATGAGGGAGGAGAGGATTGGCCACCTCGGTCACCAGATTTAACTCCTCTTGATTATTATCTATGGGGATATCTGAAGAGTAAGGTTTACAGAACAAAACCTAAAACCATTCACGAATTGATACAGCGAATAAGGGATGAAATGGCTTTGATACCTTTTGAAACGAATCGTAAAGTCATTTCTACATTCTACCAAAGATTAGCATATTGTCAGGAAGTAAATGGCAGCCACTTTCAGCATTTACTTTAACACATTGAAACACATTTGCAATCGTTTGGTGCAACCTAACCTGATCTCTGTATACACGCACCGCACGCACGCACACGCACACATTTCGAACAATTATTATGATAAATGAGCATCCACAAATTTATTTACTGTTTACTATGTCGATTGCTTTCCAGGTCTTTAAATGCTCGATTGTAATTTGGTTGGGTCTTTGCTTTTGCTGACTGGATCCACGACCGATCTTGCCTTAGTTAGCTGGATCACACACACAACAGATGCAAATCCGAGCGAGTAACCTCCATGTAGTACACCTTGGATAATGTTAATACCGGCGCTACTCTATCATTCAACCCTCATAACTCGCAAAGTACTTAATAAAAATGAACATTATTATAGTGTTTTGGAAAGCTCTTGAATTAAGCTATAAGAATATGCAATCAAATGTAGGGGGTGTCATTTAAAAAAGTCAATGTGACCTTGACCTGACCTTGACGACGCCATCCAAGGTCAAACTGATAGAATCAGTATATAGATCTTCTTAAACCCTACAACTTTTGTTGGAAACACTTTTCTGTAAAACGTATATTTTCCGAGATATTTAGGGGTTTCCACACTTTTGGTAGACCCTGTATATATATATATATATATATATATATATATATATATATATATATATATATATATATAGTCGGATTGTTTATTATACAGGGTGTTCCATTTTAACTTTGCCATCGAAATATCTCGTAAAGTCTAAAAGATACGAAAAAATGTTTCAAACAAAAGTTGTAGGATTTCGAGGGAGACATCTCATGGTGACTTCGACTTTGACCTAGAGGTCAAATTAGTAGTCATTTGAAGATCAACTTAATTTTTTTTATTCGAACTCCCTATTTTTTATTACATATTCTTGTAGCTTCTCTCGAGAACTTTCCAAAACACTATAATTAAGTTAGTTTTAATTAAGTACTTTCCGAGTTATGAGGCTTGAAATCATTTCTTAATTTTACATAAACCGTAAAATATCTTGTAAAATATTCATTTTTCGATTATTTTACCTTAATACTTTTTATGTACAAAATAATGAGAGAAATCAATTGGTGTAAAGAAAACATACAGTTGTTTTTAAGAAAAAATATGGAATTGTTAATTGCAAATTACATATTTTTTCTTAGAAACAACTATGTGTTTTCTTTATACTAATTGATTCCTCGCATTATTTTGTACATAAAAGTATTAAGGTAAGATAATCGAAAGATGAATATTTTACAAGATATTTTATGGTTTATGTAAAATTAAAAAATGATTTCAAGCCCCATAAATCGAAAAGTATTCAATGAAGAAATACTTCATTATAGTGTTTTGGAAAGATCTCGAGATGAGCTACAAGAATATATAAAAATATATAGGGTGTTCCATTTTAAAAAATTGAAGTGACCTTCGCGTGACCTTCAAATGACTCTTCAAGGTTAAACCAATGATACCATCTTATGACCCCCTCGAAACCAAACAACTTTTGCCTGAAACATTTTTTTCTAAAATGCACTGTTTGTGAGATATTTAGATGTATCCGGACTTTTGGCGCACCCTGTATAATAATTTTTTTAAACAGCCGCGTGGATTTTTAGCATCTTTTATTTTTAAATGAATATTACCTTATCATCATTTTTATGAAAACTCTTAGAATCATGGCTTTCCAATCTTTGAGCTCGACATACCAGTAATCTAGGGTCCTCCATATCCCAACAATGCGCCGTAACTAATCTTCCTCTGCATTGCGAAATTCTAAAAAAAAAAAGAAGAAAAAGTAAATTTTTGCATGCTAAATTTTTTGTGTTCTTACATATTAATATATGTGTATAATATCGCATTATTATAGAATATTATCAATAAATAATATAGAATATATTACATTATTATAGAATAATTAATATAGAATAATTAATTCTATAAATGTATGTTACATTGTAAACAGTATGTGTAGTATTCAATTTTAAGTTATATATATATATATATATATATATATATATATATATATATATATATACATACATACAGGGTGTTCAAAAAGTCCCGGTACGGGGGAATAACTCGAAAAGTAAGCGTCGGACAAAGAAACTTTTCGGACAAAAGTTGTAGGGCTTACTCCCAGCTTTTATCTCGTGACCTTGAGTTTGACCTTGAGCTTGACCTTCAAGGTTATTTGAAGGTCAAAGTGTTTTTTTTAAATGGGAACCCCTATTTTTGATTGTATATTCTTATAGCTGACCTCGAGAGCTTTCCAAAACACTATAATAAAATATTTTTCCCTCAACCATTTATCGAGTTATGAGGCTTCAAATCATTTCTTAATTTTACATAAACCGTAAAATATCTTGTAAAATATTCACTTTTCGATTATTTTACCTTAATACTTTTATGTACAAAATAATGAGAGGAATCAATTGGTGTAAAGAAAACATATAGTTGTTTTTAAGAAAAAATATGTAATTGTTAATTGCAAATTACATATTTTTTCTTCGGAACAATTATGTTTTTTTTTAGACCAATTGATTCCTCTCATTATTTTGTACATAAAAGTATTAAGGTAAAATAATCGAAAAGTGAATATTTTACAAGATATTTTACGGTTTATGTAAAATTAAGAAATGATTTGAAGCCTCATAACTCGATAAATGCTTGAGGGAAAAATATTTTATTATAGTGTTTTGGAAAGCTCTCGAGGTCAGCTATAAGAATATACAATCAAAAATAGGGGTTCCCATTTAAAAAAAACACTTTGACCTTTAAATAACCTTGAAGGTCAAGCTCAAGGTCGAACTCAAGGTCACGAGATAAAAGCTCGGAGTAAGCCCTACAACTTTTGTCCGAAAAGTTTCTTTGTCCGACCCTTACTTTTCGAGTTATTCCCCCGTACCGGGACTTTTTGAACACCCTGTATATATATAATTAAAAAAAATTAAATTTATAAACAAATTATTCAGACAAAGTGGAATAATTTTGAAAGGTAGTATGTAAAATTATGAGTGAAATATAGAGAGATATGCATTATAAATGATATACACAAATAATAAATGATATCACATATAATTTCTTTAATAATATAAATTATTTTGAATTATATTTCTAAATGAAATGTTGTATTTTAATATATTTATGAATTAATATTGTGTATTAATATTGTGAATTAATATTGTGTATTATGTATCACTGTTAAGACATGTAATTGACGATACCATATATTTGACATATACCATATACCATATAAGATCATTAAAATTCGGCCAAGAAGATTTGAAACAAAATTAAAATTGTGATGCAATTTGATAGTGAGTGCAATTTCTGATAAATGTATCTTTGAATATAAATTTTTATTTTAATCCTTCAAGACATTAAACACTAAGACAGATTAATATGTTTTTGTATCTTTTCTTTATATTAGAAATCATAGATTAGAAATATAATCATAGATTAGAAATCATACATCATAGATTAGAAATATAATTAATATCACTTATAATCTATAATTCTATTTACAATCTAATCTGTAATTTCATATAGTTATGATGCAGTTTCCTATTTTTTTAAATATGTTTTTTAAATATTTTTTTAAATGTTTTTTTTTACTCACAATGTAGAATCATCATCAATGATATCGTTTGACTCCCCGAAATCGAACTCGTGGACTTGATCACTTTCAATATCCCAAACATATAAAATCGAACTAGGCATAAGGTTTGCCATTGCGACAGTGATCGAGACACAATGACAATCCGCATTACATCTTGCTTCAATAATTTCGGCAAAGTCACTGATCGCCTCATACGTCGCCATAGCTCGAGTATGCAGTTTAGCCTCATGTTTACCCAAGTCCCAGATTTTTAAAATACCATTCAATGACGCAACAGTCAAATACTGTCCTGTAAATAATTATAAAAATAATATTTATAATATGAATGAAATACACACATATCTTCACATAAACAGAGTATATCAGAATTCGCAGATGCGGAATGCACAGCATGAGGTTGTGCAAAAAGAAATAACTTTTTCTTTTGGCAAAATTGCATCTGAATATTACTTTTTTAATGAGAGCAACTTTAAGCTAATAAATAAGCGCTTTAGATTAAACATGAAGAATATAACATATAATATCCCATACAGCACAGAAGCTTGCATCAATTTTGCTGCAATGTTACAACATTGTTCACTGCAGTATAATATTGCAGAAATAATGCAGAAACATTATTTTGTAATATTACTTTGGCAATTGCAGCAACGTTTTAACATAGTGTTATAGCCCGAGAGACTATAACCTATTTTAGTAATTATATAAAACATTCGCGAATATCGTAAAGAACATTCGCGAGCCGCGCCAAGAACCGCTAACTCAGCGAACTACCGTCGCTCACCGGAAACGCGAAAGACGCTAACGAAGGAATTCGACTTTGAACTTCCTTCGCTTGCATTTTGATTATGAATGCCACAGAAAACCCCATGACCATATATGGTCATGTTGCCAGGCGATCCCCTCCAAAAAACCCTTCAAAACAGAGGGAATAAAAGCCGTCCACCGCAAATCCGCGGCGGACAGTCACAAGTAATAAATCAATCACTAAAGTAGTGCCGAGTGCTAAACCGTTAAAATTGTGCAACGAAGACACTCAAAGAAATTGTAAACGCTCTAAATCTATTTACGAACGATTCGAGGAAAGGACAACGAAGAGAAGGCTCGAAAGAAACTGATAAGAATAGAAGATATTAAGCGAATATATATTTGTAAACTAAAAATACAATAAAGACGCTAAAGGATAATACGGTTCTATTTTATACTCCCGGCTACCCCACACCCCGTGCCCCGCCGGGCACGACAATAGCGAAAATGTATAACATGTGTTTTTTTTACTTGCCGCCACGCGGCGACACCAAATTTAACTAACTCGTATTCGAATTCATTTAAAATGGATATAAGTTCTACAAAGGAGAAAAAAATAATTACAGGTATCAGACCATCCGTGCCAGCCGAATATCTCAAAAACCGAGAACGGCAGACAAAAATGTTTCCTACAAAAGTTGTAGGGTTTCGAGTAACGCATTACATAGTAATATTAGTATGACCTTGAATAGCGTTGTCAAGGTCACGTAAAGATCATCTTCAATTTCTTAAATAGAATCCCCTATTTTTCATTACATATCCTTGTAGCTTATCTCGAGAGCTTTCCAAAACACTATAAATAAACATTTTTTCATCAAGTACTTTTTGAGTTATGAGGCTTGAAATCATTTCTTAATTTTACATAAACCATAAAATATCTTGTAAAATATTCATTTTTCGATTATCTTACCTTAATATTTTTATGTACAAAATAATGAGAGAAATCGATTGGTGTAAAGAAAACACATAGTTGTTTTAAAAAAAATATCTAATTTGCAATTAACAATTACATCTTTTTTCTTAAATATAACTCTGTTTTTCCTTTATACCAATTGATTCCTTTCATTATTTTGTACATAAAAGTATTAAAGTAAGATAATCGAAAAATGAATATTTTACAAGATATTTTATGGTTTATGTAAAATTAAGAAATGATTTCAAGCCTCATAACTCGAAAAGTACTTGATGAAAAAATGTTTATTTATAGTGTTTTGGAAAGCTCTCGAGATAAGCTACAAGGATATGTAATGAAAAATGGGGGAGATTCCATTTAAGAAATTGAAGGTGATCTTTACGTGACCTTGACAACGCTATTCAAGGTCATACTAATATTATTATATAATGCGTTACTCGAAACCCTACAACTTTTGTAGGAAACATTTTTGTCTGCCGTTTTCGGTTTTTGAGATATTCGGCTGGCACGGTGGTCTGATACACCCTGTATATTTCTTATATTTCTTTTAATGTAGTATTTATATTTTATAAGATTTACAAAGGACTAATGTAGTAATTTTATTTATTGTCTTGTGTCAATTTAATTTCTGATAAACTGACTTGATTTATTTCATATTCTGAAATTCCTAATGAGGAATCTAGATTATTGAACAAATAATTAAAACTTGTGCATATTGATAACATTCAAGTCAGGGAAAACTCTTGCGCAGGAGGGTTAAGAAGGAAGATCTACTGTTTTGTGATATTTGCAATAATTAACGAAAAATTAATTAAAGAAGATCGGCTAATGCGCGTGGCTAGAAGCGTGTTATTACATTATGTTACAGTGAGACCGCCACGCACTTCTAGCCACGCGCATTGGCCGATCTTCTTTAATTAATTTTTCGTTAATTATTGTAAATATCGCAAAACAGTAAAGGACCTTTCTTCTTAATTTGAGCCAATCTATCTTCACACTTCGAGACCGCGAAAAGTTTTCAGCCACTCTGTATATTGTTTGTAATATGTATTTGTTTTATTCGTTTTTATATAATATTAATATAATAATATTTATTTAGATTTATTTAAAAATTTTTACCTGTTAACTCCATCGTGATCGGTTCGCCCTCTTCTGGTAAGGTAGGAAGTGTTTGAATGACGGAACCTTCTACAGATCGTAACTGAATAGTCATTGGCGTCAATATAATCAATGTATGTTCATAGATGAGCATCTTTTCAGTATCACAACTAAAGGTCGCCAATACAGTCGTGTTAAAATTAGTATTTTTGTTAATGCGATTGACAATAATTTGTCTACCAGAAGAAACGGCGATATATTCTTTTGTAACAGCAATAGTCTGCACTTGGATCTCCGTCTTTAATGTATAGCTTTGCTCATCCATTTCAAGTAGAATCTGTGTTGGTGTAAGCTGACTCGCACAAATGCCATTATTGTAAACAGCACACATCGGCTGTTGACGCAAAATAAATACATTAGTTATACAGTTGACGGCCAAAAGAGAATTCCGTGATAAACTGATGCCCCACGTTAATTGCTTCACTGTTCCATGAATTGCGCAAGATTCTGGAATGCTTGGCCAAGCGTTCTCATCGTTGTCGGGAGAGGATTTCCGCTTCCATAAATAGATTGTTCCTAAATTGGTACCAGCAGCTAAAGTATCTGAAAAATGCGAGAAATATAATTTAACTAATTGTTTTCAAACTTATTAACTCGAATAGATTAATTAAAAATTGTTTAAATATATTGTTTAACTATAGTTTTTACCATTGCTTTTGCAAAACGCTAAACTGGTACATATTTCCTGAGGAGTAGCAATGTTTCCATTAGATGAATCTGGAGGCAAGAGAACATATGTATCACCCGTATGAAGATTCCAACATCGTATAGCGAGTTCTCCTGTGAGCACAGCTAAAGTGTTCCCATTGATCCAGCATAGAGTGGTACAAGCAGTACGCGATATATCATTTCTACTACTTAATTTGACCTAGAATAATATACAACGTAATAATGTATAAATGTATGTGGTCTTCATTTAAATCAAGAGACGGTAATGTCTCGTGCTAATGTTATACACAATAATAGGCGGATTATACATCTATACAGGGTGTCCCATTTTAATGACCCACCCCAAATAACTTTCTTATTTTTAATTATAGAAAAAGATGTTTCAGACAAAAGTTGTATGGTTTCTAGGGGGACATAAGATGGTGCCATTAGTTTGACCTTGAAGAGTTACATGAAGGTTACGTGAAGATCATTTTGAATTTCTTAAATGAAACACCCTATATATTTTTGCATATTCTTGTCTTATCTCGCGAGCTTTCCAAAACACTATAAATAAAGATTTTTTCATGAAGTATTTTTTGAGTTATGAGGCTTGATCATTTCTTAATTTTACATAAACCATAAAATATCTTGTAAAATATTCATTTTTCGATTATCTTACCTTTATACTTTAATGTACAAAATAATGAGAGGAATCAATTGATGTAAAGAAAACACAAAGTTGTTTAAAAAAAAATATCTAATTTGCAATTAACAATTCCATATTTTTTCTTAGAGTTAAGAGTTAAGTTACAAGAATATGCAAAAATATATAGGGTGTTCCATTTAAGAAATTCAAAATGACCTTCACGTAACCTTTATGTGACTCTTCAAGGTAAAACTAATGGTACCATCTTATGTGCCCCTAGGAACCATACAACTTTTGTTTGAAACATCTTTTTTTAAAATTAAAAATAAGAAAGTTATTTGGGATGGGACATTAAAATGGGACACCCCTATAAAGAACTAATATAAAGAATTAATTAATAGAGTATCTTAGAATTATCAGATCTTAATAATGATAATAAAGATAAACTAATCGAATTCGAAGCCTTAATAGGCTTAATTGATAGATTAAATCACAATTATATCAAATATAAAAATATTTTTATTATTACTCTACATATATTATGAACAGAGACATTACGAGTTTCAATATTTAGCAATATAAGTGGAGAGGAATAGGCCGTTATGAGTCAAGCGCAGTAAATAGTGCACACAAATATTAGGTATATTTAATATTAAAATTATTTAATGAATGTTTCGGTCCTAATTTTGGACCAGCTTCAGCTATTCTTTCTTATTTTGCTTTCTAATAACAAAAATTAGAAAAAAATATATGATATAAAAATATGATATATAAAATATGATATATAATAATATATAAAAAAAATGGAGGATATTACGAATTATGATGCGAAAGTTTGAAAAAACTAAACAAAACATGAAAATACATACATGTAATTAACAAAAGCGTGCGTAAGAATCCGTGGAAATCAGCGTTGAAAAAATTAATAGAACTATGGTAAACCTTCCTCCGGTTCCAACCGTAAAGGATAGATTATTAATTGCAAATTACATATTTTTTCTTAAAAACAACTGTATATTTTCTTTATACTAATTGATTCCTCTCATTATTTTGTACATAAAAGTATTACGGTAAGATAATCGAAAAATGAATATTTTACAAGATATTTTACGGTTTATGTAAAATTAAGAAATGATTTCAAGCCTCATAATTCGGATAATACTTAATGAAAACTAACTTAATTATAAAAAGGTCTATTTACTGACGCCATGTGTTTGACTTTGGATGGTGTCGCCAAGGTCACGACAAGGCCACCTTGAATTTTTGAAATGGAACTCTCCACTTTTTATTGCATATTCTATTCGAAGAAAAAATATGTAATTTGCAATTAACAATTACATATTTTTTGTTAAAAACAACTGTGTGTTTTCTTTACACCAATTGATTCCTCTCATTATTTTGTACATAAAAGTATTAAGATAGGATAATAAAAAAAATGAATATTTTACTAGATATTTTATGTAAAATTAAGATATTATTTTAAGCCTCATAATTCGAAAAGTACTCAATGAAAAAAAATACTTTAGTAATAGTGTTTTGGAAAGCTCTCGAGATAAGCTACAAGAATATGCAATAAAAAATAGGGGGTTCCACTTAATTGAAGGTGACCTTCAAACGACTTTTCAAGGTCAAACAAATAACACCATCTTATGGCCCCTTTCAAGCCATTCAACTTTTGTCTTTTTTTGTAAAAGGCGTAGGAAAAGAAATATTTGGGACATTAAAATGGACCACTCTGTATATATATTATATATCAAGCGATGCGGTAGGGTTGCGATGATAAGTACATAAAAAACTGATAAAAAACTGGATCCGTGCATTTCACTGTTCCGTGAACTGCATCCGTAAAAATCACTGTTCTCGACACGGCGCTACCAAATAGTTTATCCAGAATTTTACGTCAAATAAATTTTCGATTAAAATATTTCAGAAACTAAAGCCGTAATTAAAAATTTAACAGTATTTTTATTATATAATGTGAATATAAGCTTTCGATTGCGACCAGTTTGAATAAAATTGGTGCAGGCAATTCCGAAAAATGATAATCGCATGTGAGAATTGATATTTTTCATTTTTCTTCATAATAAGGTTCAGACTCATGAACGTATCTTCGCACGCGTACATTCAAAGCGATTTTGTCCCTCAATCTGCGTTCACATCATATATGATTATTCGCTTTGGTGTGCAAAAATGCTTTAAGAGACAAAACCATTTATGTACATGTGCGTGCATACGTATAATATGTGTATATGCAGTGTTTGCTGGTATCTAGATAAAATTATCTAGATAATTATCTAGATAAAGAAATGGATCATCTTTATCTTTAACTTTAGATGAATAAATACAAAGTCTTTATCTTTATCTTAGATAAAAAACATATGTCATCTTATTTAAAAATTGTCTAAGATGACGTTTTCATTATGCAAAAGAGTTTTCCAGGCAAGCTTCTAAAAATCTATCTAAAATATCTAAAATATATTTTTTATTTGGAAAATAATATTACAAATATACTTTATCTTGTACTTGTTTTACTTAAATTTGTGCAATGTATTAATATATAGTTTATAAAAATGATATATGTATTGTTACACAATGATTATTATATTATTAATATATTATAAATATATTATAAATATATTATAAATTAATAAATAAATATTTATCATATTATTTATATACCTTTTTGTTATTATTTAAATATTCTTTAGGAAAAGAGAAAGAATATGTGTTTATGATTTTAATATCCCATTTATAATCTGCGTCACATTTTTTACAAATATTTATAATCTTATAAAATAAACAAAAATATCTAGATAATTATCTAGATTATCGCAAATAATCATCTCATCTTTCATCTAGATTAAGTAAAAGCAAAATCATCTTTATCTCATCTAAGATAAATTTACGGATTTGTATCTTTATCTAGATAATTTTGAAATTATCTACAGCAAACACTGTGTATATGTGTGTATACACTTGAGATTAATTTATCGCATAACATTTTCAAAAACCTCTTGAGGGCAAAATCTAATATCTTGAAAATGGAGTATCACAAAAATATAAAAACTGTGCCGTAAGACTTCTAAAGAAACTAATTTATCGTATTATGACAATATTCAAAAACCACTCCATGGGAATGAACTCTAATATCTAGAAAATAAAACCTCATAAAAATACGCGACTTAGGTCCTTAGTTAAGGGGGGAAACCACATTAGACGGTTCAAAAAATCGATTTTTCTTTTATTGCATAAATCATTAGTATAACTATTCAAGATTATGTTCCCAAAATTTCAAAATGAAATTCGAAGTCCTTCTTATACTATGAGTATAAAAGGGAGCGCCCCTCAGTTTACTGCTGGAACGCACAGCAGGTAGAATGGAGCGGTCGCCCAGGTTGTCCTTTACTTACTTACTTGGCTCAATATGACACATGTACTATGGGATATTAGAAGGGAAGGGAGAGTATTTTTCCAGATGTTTTTGTTTGTAAATGCTCACTATAGAGGGCTTGTGTAGAAGCGTCGGAATTATTTTGAATATATTTCGATAGAATCGGATAGCCATCCACGCGTGTGTTGAAAGTTACAAGAGAAATATGTCTTCCCATCCAAAAGGTGACCATTCTAGCATTTATCGAGTTAGTAGACCACGTAAGAAATCATTCCATGGAAATCAGCATTCTAACAAAGAAACAAGTTTCACCGAAAATGAAAGTGCTAGAGCAAAAAAATTGCAGAGTGCTACCAGTGAGAATGTGATTGTGAATTCCTTGTTTTGTTATGATGCTTATGAAGAAGAAGAAGAATTGCTATATGGTGTTGGAATCGCAGATTAAAAGGTAAGCTCTTTATATAATTTACTACTGTCTCGAATTTCTAGTTTTCGGTAATTTTTTTTTCAAACGCATTTTTCTCGAAACGACTTTTTTTTGACTTGCGTGCACTCTAGCTCAAAAAATTATTGACCAATTCTTATAAAATAAAGTTGTGATTATTCTTTATTAAACTATCTATCAATTGAACCAACTTTTGGGATGATATCATAATTTAAAGTGTATTTTTTATTTGAAAAAGAACTGAAAAAAACGATGAAAATTGAGATTTTTTTTCAAATTCCCGTAAAACATTCAATTTTCAACGTTTTTAGCTTAAACCTGGTTCACCTAATAAGAAAACATGTTAATAATGTATGCAAACCTTCGTTTTACTTTCAGATCAAAATTGTGACCTCCATATTGCACGCAAGCAACTAACTCTGACGACGACCTTCGATGGGCGGCAGCTTATAACTTTGACATTTCCGTCAAAAACAACTTGAAAAAATCTGAGATGTAGTTCAAAATATGAATAAAATGACCTCAAAGTTTAAATAAATTCTAATTATTTTTTCCGTCTCAAAAAAATTCACAAAAAAAGCTTAAAAATCAGCCTCCTAATGTGGTTTCCCCCCTTAAGATTTTTAAAAATGAATATATATTTTTTGCAGAAATAATATAAATTTTTAGAAAAAGTGGTAATATCCCTCTAGAAACAACGTTATAAAGGTAAAAGGAATATGTCAAGTGCATAAAAAAATATCTTTAAAAAAATCTAACATACATTTTCTGCAGAAATAATATAAATTTTTACAAAAAGCGGTGAGACCTCCTAAAAAAAACCTTATAAGATAAAAAAATACATAAAAAGTACATAAAAAAAGAATAAGAAAATCTAAATTTATAAAAAAATAAGAAAATCTAAGAGTGATAAAAATAAAATATTTAGAAACCGATATGAGATCAATACTATTAGCCAAGTACAATAAATTATGTGATATTAATTCATAACCGATATTAAATGAGTTAAGATTACTTTAATTTCTAAAGCACTTTTTATATGATGTATATAATTTAAAAAAGTTTTACACATTCTAAATCGCATAAATGACCTTCAAGTCGAAGTAAGATATGAATCAAAATATCTACATTATAAAAAAATTATGCATATCTCTCCGTTCTTCAATACAGATAAATTTTGTAATCAATCACTATATTCACAATAAAGTTCAGTTCAAGTCATTTAATTTCATATATATATATTTGTTATCATATATATTGTCTATCTCTTTTAGTTTAAAAGATAAAAGGGGATGGCCACTTCTAGGTGAGACACGCTGTATATTTCTAATTCGCATATTTTTTCTTGTATCGTCGTAAGAATATTTAGAGAATATTTGCAAGAATATTTTTTTGTAGATGTACTTTTATCACAAAAGCAGTTGTAGATACACAGTTATTAAAAAATAACATTTAATTATTTCTATTATTTTGAGCTAAATGAAATGTTTATATTTATGATTATATAATTAGTACCTTTGTCAATTCAGTCAGTTCTCCGCTGATTGAATCTGATTGAAAATGTCCAATATTTAATCCCTCCGTCATGATGATGATAGAATCTCTAGTCTGATGATACAATAAGCAATATAATGCTGCACTATCAGTACTAAGAACTTCCTTACATTGTCCCTGAGAATCAACAAAGTATATGATGCCATTTGCAGTACCAATGTAGAATGCATGATTGTCTCGTTGAGTTGAAACTGTTGTTGGTGCAGCAGTTCTTGGGCGCCATGAATTAAATAAGTCTAAAGCTCTTTCATCACCAGCCACTGCTGCTTTTGCCAAACCACTGTAAAAAATAAATTGTTCAAAATGAGTCTGCTGAATTAATAAATGAGGATTTATTTATCTAAATTACATGGTTTTTATTTGGAAATTCTTTTTCAATATTTTTCAAAATATTTAATATTTTTAGGAATATATCAAGAAAATATAATATTTTCTAATAATATTAAATAATATATATATAATTATTAGAAAAATATAATCTATTCTATATAAAAATTCAGTTATCTTTTAATTTATTTTATTTATTTAGAAATAATGATTTATATTAATTAATTATATTATATGATGATATGTATATTATATACCTAATGTCAATAGTTGACTTTGAAGGATTTGTTCTAAATGCGATTTGTGTAAAAGACTCTTTCAATTCATGATGGAATGTCATAAAAAGTTGTCCTCTGGAATCTATTTTCCAACCAACTATAGATCCACTAGTATCTGCAGATACTAAACGGCTACCATGCTGACTCCATTGCAAAATTGTGATAGACTCTCGATGAGGAGTTACTATTACACTGAATTCTTGAGTCCCAGTATCTCCAGGCCATACCTATAATACTTAACAATTTAACACTTTCCTTTATCTTATAATAATTAAAATCTTATAATCTTATAATAAAAAAAATAATTCATTGAAATGATAATCAGAGATTAATAAAGAAAAACTAATTTTTTGTTTCCTGCAGTTTATAGTATTTATGATATTAACTCGTAACTCTCCGCTCTCCCATCCTGCTGCCAACCATGTCCTCTCAGGATGCCATGCAAGTGCAGTAACTTGCGCTACAATATGTCCTGATGATTCAATGTCTTGCACAGGTTCACCTTGATCATCATAAATGGTTACAAAGCCACCCTTGTCTTGAGAATATGCAGAAACAGCTAACAAGGGATAGTTATTATGCCAAGTTACAAATGTATTTATTGAAGCAGTTTCAGGACTTTGCACTCGAATGTCAAAATATAAAGTCATTGTGTGTTTATTACATTAAATTATATATTTATATATATAAATATGAGATTTACAATTACAATTTTTTATTAAATATCACTATAACTTAATATAAATAAAATTACACAATTTATTATTATATATTTGCTTTTGAAATACTTTGTCAATATTTTAATAATTTTTTACATTGACAGTAATCAACTTTTACGCATATATACATATACATACATATGCACATATAATATTGTCATTGCCATTGTCATGGAAACGCATTGAACTCGTTGCATTGAACCCACAGATATCTATAGATGTCTGTAATAGAACCACGATCTTACATACTAAAGTTACTAGAGGTTTGTTCGCGCAGAGAGAAGGCTGAGAGGAGCCACGCTGCCATTTCTGAGGGAACGATTTCCCTACGTCGTACATTAGCGGTGCGTACATCCATTTTACGGCGCCTGGGAACTACATGGCTACATCTACTTTTGGTGCCGATAAAACAGTCGATTTTTCATGTCCGTGCTACATCCACAATTTATAGACCATAAATACGTCTCGCATATAGACGTAATTAATAATATACTTTGTTAGCGCGATTCTCTTTTCCATTCAAGCATATATTATAAACATCAATATATGCTATTAATAAAATAAATTTATGTAATATACATTGCCCAGATAGCAAAATCGGATAGAGCACGTTTTGCAATTTATGTGCTGCATACTATGTCAGCAGAATGCTGTCAATATTCTAGCAAAATATGCCGTTTCAGTTAATGTTGTCAGAAACACAGCAAAAGTTGAGCATAACGTGCGTTACGATGTAATGATAGAAATGCAGCAGAAATAAAGCAGAGTTTTACCAGCATAAATAGAACAATTCAATGCTGGAATAATGTGTCGGCAGAATGCATACTGAGAGTACGCATAATCTGTTGTCACAGTGTAATAGCAAAATCTCATCAGAAATATCAAACTTGTGCAAGCACGCTATGACAGCAGAAACACAGCAACAATGGAGCATGCTCTGCCGTCATACGATGACATTTAATTTTTAAAATACAGGATCTGTGCGACGCAATTTGACAACAGATTGTCGGCAGAAATCGAGCAGGATCTGCGCACAATCTCTGATAGCAGATTGATGGCAGAAACGGAACAGGGTTTGCATGATTCGATAGTTCCTTCACTTACCGCTACGTGAGCTGTTCTTTCTCGTAATTGAATTTTTGTCAGAAATATATATAAAATCGCGAATATGAATAAAAGAAAAATTGAATTAGTTTTTCACTATATGAGATATAACTATGATATAACATATTACATATATGTCATTTTCTAAAAAAATTCTAATTAACTTGCTGATAATATTGTTATTTAGCATCTGTAATAATTCATTTTGTTGCATTTATATAACATTAATAAAAGTAAGCGCAAATCTTGTTGAAGTTTCTGCTGTTAATGCGCAGATTCTGCTCGGTTTCTGCTGACAATCTAACATCAAATTGCACGCGTAGATCCTGCTCGATTTCTGCTGTTATATCATGACGACACACTGTGCTTCATTTCTGCTGCATTTCTGCCATCACATCATATTGACACATCGTGTTGGGAAAAAAGAAACTTAAGGAGGACACAGCTGAGCGATATCTGCTGCAAATTCATGATTGAATCTGCTGTTATACTGCTGGCATACTGCTAGCATTTTGCTATCTGGGTTGTTTAGGATATTTTATTTTTGTGATAAGAAATAGAAAAGAGAGAGATAAAACTTATATAAAATTCAGTAAATTGTATTTTATTTGTTAAAAAACAGTCCTAGAAAAAAGATAATTATAGACCATTTTCAAGATGATGAAATATCACACGTTTTGAACATTACATTTGATACGCAACATATATAAAACTCTTTTAAAATAAATATAATATTGAATATATGGAAACTACATTTTTTTATATTTCTTAATAGTTTTTCTTATGGAACATAATTTTAAAGTTAACAAGATTCTTGCAAAAAAAATAAAAAATAATCATGTTAACAGCCCAACATCTGTCATTCGAATATTAATTTTCGATTAGATATAATTTTTTTACTTATCTAACAATAAGGAAAACTTATCCGAATTATGTCATGCTTGATGTCATTTTAAACATAAAAATTTCATTAATCTATTTTAATTACTTTCAAAAAGATCAAATAAAATATAAAAATTTTAGTTGTTATTTTATAAATATTTAAAGTTGTAAATTATTATAAGTAACGAAAAAATTCCCGATATCATTGAAAGCGAGAGCGAGAACGAATAGAGCAAGCGAGATGATGTATCGTATAAAGAGTTCCGAAATCTCTTACGCGAGATTCCCTTTCTCTATAACATTTCACGAATATATGTCATCTACTATAAAAAATAAAATGTGTTTTATTTGTTTTGAAAATAATTTTAATGAAATAATGAGAATTTTGCGATTAAAATGACATCAAACTCGATATAAATCGGACAGTTAAATGTAAGCAAAATTTTTATTATTAGATTAATTAAAAATTATCCGATTTATATCGTATTTGGTGTCATTTTAATCGCAAAAATCTTATTAATTCATTAAAATTATTTTCAAACCGATGAAATTAAAAATAAAAGTTTCAATTTTTATTTTATAAGATGTTTACATTTTCGTGAATTGCGAATGAATAGAGAAAGCGAAGAAATCGATTGTAAGAAACTTCGGAATTCTTTGATGATAGATCATCTCGCTCGCTCTCTATTCGTGGTCTTGCTTTCTCTGTCACACTCGACAGTCGTGATAGATAGCCCAGAATGATAACAGGATCCAAGAATCAAGAGTGAGCGAAATAGTAACAAGAATGAGCGAAACAATAATAGGAACGAACGAGACAGTAATAGGAGCGAGCGAGAGGAAAATAATAGCGCGCAAGAAAAATCCGATTCTCGAGCTCGAGTCTTCGTTGCTCACTCCTATTACTATCTCACTCGCTCCTATTATTATCTCGCTCGCTTCTGTTATTGTTTCACTTGCTCTTACGTACTCATATACTGTCATGCTCATCTCGTTATCAAATCTGTCGCTGGCAAGCGGCCAATGACAAATTGTAACAAATAAATAAGTTAATCATTTTAAGATATATTTATAAGGGTATACGAGTAATTTTGGAATAATCAAAATTTTGCGATTAAAATAACATCAAACACGGAATCAATCGGATAAATGTAGTTAAATATATCAAAATTTTTATTATCAGACCAATTAAAAATTATCCGATTTATGTCGTGTTTGATATCATTTTAATCGCAAGAATCTCAATAATTCATTAAAATTATTTTCAAATAGATAAAATAAAAAATAGTTTTAGTTTTTATTTTATAAGATGTTTACATTCGCGAGGAAGCCGAGTCCGCTTATCTTTATCAAGTGCGACTTATCAAGTGCGAGAGCGACAGCGAAACAGCGAGTCGAGAGCGAGTGAGATGACCTATCATCAAAGAATTCCGAAGTTTCTTACTAATCGGCTTCTTCACTTCCTCTATCCATTCGCAATTTACGAGATTATAAAATAAAAACTGAAACTTTTATTTTTTATTTTATCGATATGAAAGTAATTTTAATGAATTATTGAGATTTTTGCGATTAAAATGATATCAAACACGACGTAAATCGGATAATTTTTAAGTCTGATAATAAAAATTTTGATTATATATATTTAACTACATTTATCCGATTAATACCGTGTTTGATGTTATTTTAATCGCAAAATTTTCATTATTCTATTAAAATTACTCGCATACCCTTATATGAAAGAAATATAACTTTTATACATCTTTTTCTTTGCTTATAATATAATTTCATTTTCCAAATGCGTGCGATCATACGATAGATTTAAATAAAAAAAAATTATCGAGAAACTTGGACTCCTCATTTTATAGCATGTAAGACTGAACGTTTTCCATCGAGCCACTACATAACATTAAACATTCGAGATATATTTAATCGCTACTTATGTTAAATATTTATATTGCTTTTTATACTTATATTTTTATTGCGAAGGTAATAAAAAGGGAGAAAATAATTTTTAATGCAGATATATAGGATACATTATATAATAAAATGTATTTTATTTATGTACATATTTATGCAATATTTAACAAAGATAATTATAAAAATATAAATTACTTTATCTTAGAATAATTATCTTTCTTTCCGAAATCGTTTTATCGGAGTTTACTTTAAATGTAATTAAAATATTAACTTATAATACATTTATATATGGGACATAATCGTCATCCACAATTATGGACGTACCACGGACACATACCAAACATAGTGTTTTATCATGCTATCGAAAGTGGATGTGGCCCTGTAGTTCCAAGCGGCTGTAAAATGGATGTATGTAGAGGCGCCACTGTACGACACCGAAAAGCTATCGTAAGGAAAACGGCCGGATGGCCGCTCTCAGGCTTCTCTCTGGTTCGCGTCGCATGCTCCATTGTATTCCAGAGAGCACTTGAATCACAAGTAAGATGGCGATTAGAGCAGATGAGTTATGTAAAATTAAGAAATGATTTCAAGCCTCATAACTCGAAAAGTACTTCATGGAAAAATAATTTATTATAGTATTTTGGAAAGCTTTCGAAATAAGCTACAAGGATATGTAATGAAAAATGGGGAATTCCATTTAAGAAATTGAAGGTGATCTTTACGTGACCTTGACAACGCTATTCAAGGTCATACTAATATTACTATGTAATGCGTTACTCGAAACCCTACAATTTTTGTAGGAAACATTTTTGTCTGCCGTTCTCGGTTTTTGAGATATTCGGCTGGCACGGATGGTCTGATACACCCTGTATATAGTACTCCTATATTGAGAGCCTATAATCAGAGTGGCAACATCAGAAGAAGTCCGTCATTTTTCATTGAAATTGTGCGAGGGAGAAAGAAATATGCAAGAGAGAGAAGGAGATGTGCGAAAGAGAAAGAGACATATGCGGTCTTTGTTTGTAACTCTGTTCATGAGTGTCTGTCAGTGAGGTTAAGCGAAAATTGACAGCATTTCCTCTATCATACTTATATTAATAGTCAAAATTATTATAAAATGGTTGGCTGTACAATTCCTTTTTGTACTAATTCCTCAGACAAGGGATATAGTATGAAAGTATTATCAAGAGATGTACAACGTCGAAATCAATGGATTAGTAATATAAATAATAAATACGCAAACTGGATACCAGCTAAAAATTCATGTTTAACAATGTGCAATAAATAATATGCAACAATATAATTTTTTATATACATCTATTTATTTCCTATTTTAATTTTTTAATTTAAATACTTTATTTACTCAATACAAATTTTAGATAAGTTTTTGAAAACCTGGCGGCAACGGATGAAAAATGGCGAACCAATTAGAAGTGG